GGGGGGGGGGGGGGGGGGGGGGGGGGGGGGGGGGGGGGGGGGGGGGGGGGGGGGGGGGGGGGGGGGGGCATCACCCATGCAGCACCATCCAAGGGTCGCAGCAACATCCATCCATACACGCACATTTTCGAAAAGTAGGCAGAAGCACACGCACCAACACCAGGGGCAACCACAAAGTATGTGACATCCACCAAGCGTCATAAACATCACACCACCACAAAACGTGGCCCCCTTTCAAAGACTGCGCTCATGAGTCAGCATTTCTACTGTCGTCGGACTCCTCGACTGGTTTACACCTAGCACCATTCAACCACTATACTTTTTGTACAAAAGCTCTTCATTCTCTATCTGTGTATATATATATATATGTATACATATATGTATATATATATATATATATATGTGTGTGTGTATGTATATATGTATATGTGTGTGTGTATATATATATATGTGTGTATATATATATATATATATATTATAGACACAGGCTTTTCATTCGAACAATCTCAAAATTACTCGGTTTGTTGGAAACCGCCCACCCAGCTCCTTGAGATCCGGATCCAAGGACTCAGCCTCCGGAGGAGTCGCCGCAACCTGCCGCGGACAGAGGAGTTTCTGTGCTGGGTTCCGGTAAGGGTTACTCTGGTTCTACAACAGGGTCCCGGTTTATGGGTATTCAAGGGCTCGAAAATCGGTGCCCTTTTCGGGCTGCTATCGGTGCTTTACTTTTTGTCACCGACATCGGTGTTTACAGTTATAGTATAGGAGTTTCCTAGCAGCACTGCGGGGAAGTGAAGTAAGAGGGGGCAAATGAGAAGGCAAGGTCGGAGTCCCGACTACAGTGAAGCCCAAATGTGCAGACCCATAAGTACTACCATATCTCCGAGAAGCAGTACAGTGTGACTGGGGGTCATGACAGCAACTGGCAGAGACCTATGCGGAACTTGAGGAGGGGAAAGTCTCTCAGACAGGCGGCTTCCAACTAGCCCGAACCAGGGCATAACCCCGAATGACCCCAGTGGAAACCGAGTGCCTGCTGCGGAACCGAATACCCAGCCTGTCTGAAAACTGTGTTACAGCCACTAGAACAACAAGAAAGGAAATGGTTCCCCAAGCTATGACAACCAAGCACTCCGCCCATTGCAGGTCCGCCTGTGCTCTAACATGCTGTCATTCTTGCTGCAACTCTTCCTCTTCCGAACTCAACCCGTCTTCCTGTGCAACGCTGCCTTTGCTGCAGGGGGAGGGACCCAGGCGCCGGGGCTGCCTGCCCGGACACCACAGCTTGCACTTTCGGCTTGGACTCTAGGACTCCAGGCTCGAATGCTCACAGGAGACGATGAAGCAATAGAAGCGTGTTCGAAACGGGAGCTCACTTGTGGCGCCGAGACCCCGGAGCCTATCTGCCAGTAATGGCTCCTCTGAGACTGGGAAGCTGGGTTGGGTGGCTACAATTCACTGTTCACCCTGCAAGTGCTGTCCCCGCCGTGCTAACCAAGGTCTTGATTCCTTCTTTTTTTGGTACTCGCACTCGAGGAACTCAGGCTTATTCTTCTTACCTTCTTCTCGGATCCAACTCGAGCTCCATGAGCATCTCTGAAGCTCGGGAAACAGCTACAGTAGGCCCTGGCTCCGAAGTCCGAAGAGCGTCCGGCCTCTCATTGGGGCTATGCTGTGAGGAGTCGTGATACTGCGCGCGGCTTTCCCGGCTGCGAGTCGAAAGGTTCCAAGTTCAATCTATGCTTGCACAGAGCCGGGCCGAAGCACCAAGATCGCCTCAAAGTCGACTGCGTCCATAGCTCCAAAACCCTGCTTCCTCCTTTTTGGTCAGGGTACCAGAACTGGGAGTGAAGCAGAGGAGTATCAGCAAGCAGTCTCGCGTCCTGGACACCGGACCTTGAGAACGTCGGCAGACTTGCATCGCGATAAGCGCTTGCTAAGACTCTCGGGCACTGGGCTTCCAGCGTGACGAAGAAACAGTATCCAAGCCTGGTATTCCGGCTCCAGCTGTCGTTGCAACCGACGAACAAGTGATTGATTTTTGCACAGATCTGTTCGATGTCCACTAACAGCATTGAAATGACCAAAAACGGTCCTCTCGGGGTATGTATACCTCACTCCAAGGAAAGCAGCGACGATCGAATAGGTTTTTTCAGGTTGATGGAGGAAGTCTCGATGCATAGGCAGCAGGCGGCCGAAGAACAGGGCCATCATGGAATGCAGGTGCTGCGATGTGGAAGTGGCGTCCCAGAGCCGATGTATCGCGTCAGTGTGCCGCTCCTCCCATAGGGCGGAGGCGCTCGAGAAGCAGCCTTCCCGAGTGCTTACCGGTGAGGCAAGCAACTGCTGCTTTGCCACTTCGAGGCCGAGGCTGTGGTAGTCGTGGCAGTACCTGTACTCCATAAAATGCCGCTCCAAGCGGCCAAGCGGATCGCAAACGCTCATGACCACCTTGGCCTCGCGTACCAGTGCAAGGCCCATCCTCGCCAGGCCGTATGCGAAGAGTGTGGGGGAACAAATGCCAGCGAGACGCGGTCGAATACCTGTCTCCTCCGGCAATGCAGTGCAAGCTTAGACTGCCAACTACCAGGTGCTCCTACCCGCTATCCATCCTTATACTCAACTCTTCCCGAATGCCTCAGCCTACCTGGGCATGCAACAAGCAGGAGCGAGCTGCGGTTTTCGGTTTGCAATTCAGAAGGCTATCCTGCAACTTCTTGTCTTTGGCCAGTTCCATTCGGCGGTTGAATTCCAGGACCTGTGACTTGAGGGGCAAAAGTCGATGAACGACCTCGGATGTAAAGAAGAAATCTTCAGAGGTGCTTGAGAACGCGATCTCCGGATGCTGATTGAGGTTTCTGTGCAAAGATGTCGTGCCGCAGTTGTCCAGGCCCGCGATTGCAAAGTCCAGCTGCAAGGACGGCCAGTTCAGCAGCTCTTCAACCACCACAACATCAGCCGAAATGGCATCGCATAGCAATCCTGCCACCTCCGCTCCAAATAGTTTCTCTGCCTCAAACTCTGGGAAGATCTTGTTGACGATCGCTTTTCCTGTGCAATCGTAGGGCACACACATGGCCAGCCTGAGGCTGGGCGGGAGGAAGCCAGCAAGAACGGAATCTTTCAGGGTTGGCGGTGTGATTCCGACCACTTTCTCCAAGAAAACCGAGCGATTCGAGGATGGCATCAGCTGCAAGAGTCTCGGCAGGTCGACTGTGGCCTCCCAATATCGGCCACCGTGGACCGAGCATCCAATCATTCCCTCCTGTGCCTGTCCGAACAACACTTCGAGCCAGGAATCGCCGTAACCGACATCATCCAGCTGCAGCTTCGCAACTCTGTCGGAGTCGGCCCTTCCATTGCGCTGATTCTTCAGAAGAAACTCCCAATACCAGTCAGGTCTATGATCTCTTGGAGAATACTCAGTGGGCACGTCAGACAGCGTTCGCCATTTCGCGACATCTGCCCCATATGCTGCAGCGCATGCGTCGCCAAACTCCTGGCCCTCAGCCCAGACGCAAAGACCCGTAGACACAAGGGCAAGGGTGATTGCTGTGTACATGCATTCCCCGAACATCGAACCGCGCCATGGGCTTGAGCCGCGAGCAGGAAGATCCTAGCCAAAGCAGCTCAAGTGGCTTCACCCAGCCCGGACCCGGACCTGACGGCGGCAGCCATGCACCGGGGCTCGCCAGCGGCGGAGCCTCCACAGGAAGGTTGAATGGGTGCGCAGTAGCGATTTCGCCAACGTTCGGATCTTCTCTGCAACGCGGGCGTCTCTCACCAAGAAAAGTAGCCCTCACAACGCACTGCCACCATGTCCGAAGGTGGATGACCCCCAGTACACGTATGCTTGCATATGGTGCCGTACCGGTTTTTTTTCGAATTGATGGCAAAAGCAAGAGTCTCGATGAAACCTGTTATAAGGATGCATGCAGGCCCCGGCCCGTCAGCTCACTGTAGACAGAGCAGCGGACAGACAGCGAGAGCAAACAGAGAGAGGGAGAGAGAGGTTGAGAGAGAAACAACAACACAAAGAGGAATGAAAGACAAGGCCGTGTCGGGAAAATGCTTCAAGGCACAACAGCGAATCCGATCTTTCGAACGTGTGACGTGCGTCCGGCTGAGATGCCCGCATATCCAGACCAGGCTGGCACTCCCCAGGGCGGTGGGGCACACTGCCAAAGGCCAGGCGGCCTGCTTCTTTGAGGGCGTGGGCGAACGCTCTACACCCGTGCGCTCTGGTTCAGGCACAACTCAAACATTTTGCAGCATCATGCAGCTGTCTCGACCTGAGTCAACAGGACATCCCCCATTATGAACTGGAATGACCACCAAGTGAACCAAGAACCCGTCACCATTCTTGCTATTATGTTGCGCATGATCTCAGACCAGTCAACAAAAGCCGATTCTGGGAGTATTATTGGAAACCCATGACTCACGTCCAATCATGCAGTGAGTAGTCCATCGTAAGCATGAAGACACAAGCACAATGCCCCTCCGAGGCATGTATGAAACGATCCGCCTGCTGTGTGCATCCCGATCATCAGATGACCCAGACGAGTTTCCTTCGTAGTCCTCTCATATCAGATGTGGTTATTGAAGGCACCCGCAGAATCAGTGTCAGACCCGTCACTGCATGCCGCACATCCTCCTCGAAAGGCCAAGCCCCACCACTCCCTGGCTTTGGTCCTTGCAGCGATCTTCCCAGCACCTCGGACCTCATCTTCCTATCATTTTGTTCCCGTCCTTCGATGGGTCGGGCTGCGTGTTGCCTCCTCGATTTCCTCAGGATGACAATGTCTGAAAGAACAGCACCAACTGGGCATTGACGAAGTCAAGGGAGCCAGGAGACAGGGAGCGGCCATAAACCGGCCTTGCTTCAGCAACCGCACAAAAGCTTCTTAACCTCAAACTCGAATTGAACATTCCACCAACCTTGAGCAACGTGTGCACCAAGTACTTATGTTGAGTGACCCATCGACCAGGAACCGCAACGTAATCGACAATTTCAAGTACTATGAAAAAAAGAAGGTGATCCATCCCAAGGAAGCCCGAATTCAAAGGAGTACGCACACTGTGCAAGAGTCGGGAAAACAGGTACGGTGTTCCCAAGCGTCCGAAGTCAGGTTTACGGGAGAAAGCGGGCTGCACCTGAAGCTTGCAATCTCTCCTGTTCCTGACAAATTGGTCTACAGATGTATACAGAATCCCTAAACAAATGTCAGAATTGCAGCTGCGCCGCTTGTCAGACCCATTCCGTGGCGGCGGGGCACTCGCCTTCTTGGCCTGGATCAGTATCCGAGCACGATGTGGACACGGACGCTTCCTGCCAGCTCTCAGGCTCCAGCGTAGCCTCGAGAAGTTGCAGCCTGGCACTCTGAGGTGGGGCCGGAAGGGGCGGCTGAGGCCGTGCCGCACTTCAATGTTCCTCGCCTGCGGCAGCTCTGACGACTCCTCCATGATTCCGAAGCGGCCTCAGGCAACAGTGAAGCTTCTTGCAGCACCGGCTTGTCCAACGAGCCCACGACTCAGATCTATCTCCGGCGCCTCGTTGTACTTCCGACCTTGATGCACGATCGGGTACTATACAGAAGGCCTGAAACTCGGCTTGTGCAGCGTAGTTTGCTCAGGAGCCAGCAAGCTTTCCAATAGACCTGCTGTAGCAGGTGCATTCGATCCTTCCTTCGACAGCTTGTTCTTCACATGCGATCTGCCTCCGCCTCAAGCCCAGAGTACTTCTTGAAGATGGACGGAAGCCTTGACAACTTGTGGACGTGCACCCGGGTGGAATCTAAGTGTGTATGCTGCCTTAATTATGCTGTGCGACGTTGTATCAAGGTGTCTTATGCCCTTCTAACATGCGCGACCAAGAGGCTTCAGCATTTTCGATGGGTTGCAGCGCTCGTACACCTCAAAGCGGCCAGTCTGTCGTAGGACAGCACATGCCATCAGCTGCCAAGGCAAGGTTTGACAAAGAAGTTCTAGGATTGAGAAACGAGCAGGTGCTCTAGCAGAAAAGCCAGGGTATAACGATGTACAACAAACACAGCAGACTAGTAACACGCTGTACCATAGATCATATCATAGCCCTATTCCAAGCAGTCAGTAAGGACCCTAAAGGACTCTTCTTTTGGGCCCCTCTGTCTGAGTCTCTGTGAGATCCTGGCACCCCGGATGAGCTCACGCAGCAGAGCTGCATCCGCCTCATCGATCGGCTCCTCTCAGGCTCCATCAGCAATCAAATGAGACGGCTCCCTGCCGCAACAGCGCAATTGTGGTGGTGCTTTTGGGCGGACAGCATCGAAGTCACTGAATCAAATTCCTAGCGATCTGGGACTGTGTAACTCGTGTTTATGCCACCTGTGAGGTGCTCTTCCGCTAGTTGGGTTGGACGCTCAGAACAGCTACACTACCCCAACCCTCAAAACGAATCCTGTGTACTTCAGTTGCCTGGCATGCAGACAGAAGACGGCTTTCGAAGCACACCCACGCTTGAGCTGCAGAGTCCCTCGCCCTCCCAGAAATGCTTTACGGCTTGGGCTCGTGTTTGGCAGCGCCGAAGCCGGGCGTCGCTCAGTGCGACCTATTGATTGGAGCCTTGCTCACATCAACCAGAATCAGCAGCGAAGAACGCTTGCTAGGAGTATGCAGTGCAGCCGCTTCCTTGCTGTTCCGCCTGGAGAAGGCTTGTTCTTGAGGCCTGGGTATCAATTCCAACCGCTTGTCGAGCTTGATTCCAATGGACGGAGATTGATGGAACTCTCGGGAACTGCAAGACCTGAGATTAGACCCGGGCGTGTCGAGCTCCCTCTCAGACCCGCTGCACGATGCGACCTGCCACTAAAGCTCGGCGGTCCACACTTCGCTTTGAGAGGCCAGGAACGCGTTGCAGCCGTGGCTTTGCTGCAGTAAGCCGTCTTTCAACTTTTCTCACTGTGCTTGAAGAGCTTCTTTGGCTCAGGTTTTCTACTCTGTCGTGGTCCCAACACCAAGACCTCAATCCTGACTATCTTGAAAGAATGCAGACTTTCAGCCATTGCCTGAGACAGCCTCAGCGCAAAAAGCAGAGGGCACCGACCAGCTATATACAACTTCATATGTACAAGGTCTGATGCTCATTCATTCACTTGCCGTTGGCTGGGGAGTATGGTCTAGTCTATCACCAATTAAGAGGTTAAGAAGGTGGAGCACGTGCTCGTGTCATGCGGGTGCTACGTTGCGAGTACTAGTGAGAAGCTCTTTTCAATTCATCAGCTCCGGATCAAGTGAATTCGGCAGGAAAGCGCAACACTCTGTGCATAAGTTTCTCAGTGACGTATAGATTGCCTGCAGCAGTCAGATGTGCCACGAGTGCGGCAGGTGAGCAAAGAGCTCCATCAAAATCCATCAAGAAATCCTTCAAACAATGAACTATGATTACAAAACTTTGGATGCCGAGGAGCAGTCGGCATCAAAGCAGATCCTGAGGGTCGGATTCGCGAAACCCTCAACATTTGCGAAGGCCAGTTGTGGCTGACGCAGCCACCAACCGCGAGAATCCGACACCTCAGCTTCCGTGCCGAAGGGCCCGGTGGGCCCTCTGATGGAACGCCAGTCCTCCACACTTTGCAGTTTTCGGCTGAGGCGACACTGCACTGAGAATACTGAGACCTGCTATCGATGGAACTGAGTGAAGGATAAGTCAGAACTTGTCCATCCTCGCCCTGCAAGCACAAGGCAGGTAGGAATATCTGGGAGATGAGTTTGGTAGCAGCCCACTGCACGTCCTCGATCGAACCACAACGAAGATCAATTCTCACTACCTCGGTGTCCGTACTGAAACAGAACTCTCGTTGCCAAGGTGAGCCAACAATCGCAACTCAATGCATGTGCAACACAAGGCACGTTCATGGTCTTGAACTGTCCCACGTATAGGAACTGCCCGCATCGTGCCTGCAGTGTCTCCGTCTGTCCGTCCATCCTGCCTATATCCAATGGTTGTCTAGTTGCTCGACGCCGAACAGTTCGAAATCAAGGGTTCAAACTTGACCAGGGCACAAGTGAGTAGGGCCAGGCAAGCCCGTCTGCGACAATGGACAGCTCGCCCCGCGCACTGCGACAGAGCACCCGCCCGGCCGTGCGGTCCGCAACTAGGAGAGATCCACCTTCAGCTACGTTCTGTGGCGCGACTCCGGTCTTTGTACCACCGGTGTGCAACTTGTGACTTGTGATGTACACCATCAGTACAGTACAACGACCAGTCTGCTTCGCCGGAATTTCAGAAATGACAACTTATACCATTGCACCAACCCTCGCAAACGCTGCCAAGTTCACCTGGGCCGAAGGTCACATCGCAGGGCCGCTCCAAAGCGCGTCCACGACATGTGTCGCCTTGTCGGATCAGTTCCTCGAAACCACCTGCGCATTTGAAGTGAGTGATGCTCTGCACGTTTGGCGGGAGCAATACTGCCAGAAGTTTAAGGTGTCGTAAGGTGGTAGTGGCCATGGTAGTCGCGATAGCGCATTTTTCATATGATTGGTATCGTAAAGGTAATTCATTTTTGGTAAGATTATGCATTAAACAAGAACCGCCGGACAAGTACTAATGACTAATGGCAACAATGCCCGCAATGGCAATAGCAACTTTGATCGTCCTCGCAATGGTATAGCGCAGCTGCATGGCGATACATTGCAAGACCTTTCATCACTGGAGGTAGCAGCGCCGGGAGGGGCCGTCCACTTAGAGTGTTTCACAAGGGCTTCACGAGTCTGACATGCATTGCAGCAAGCATTCGATCCCCACATGTGAGCAAAAATTACGACCCGAGAAAACTGCATGCATGCTCATAACTGAAGATGACTGGCTGGGACGCCGGCGCATCTTCACACTTATGTTCGGCATCAAGAATGGCTGCAAAGCAAGAAGAGATGATTCGTTTTGGGGTAGGAGAGCTTCGTTGGGCGGAGCCCCTCCACACCTCCTCTGCACCCTGCAGAAAGGTGGATGGTGAGCCCCTTACCTCTTGGACGAGAGAAGTCCCCACACTCACAAAGTTAAAAATAACACAAAGCCGCACAGGCGCACACTTGAGTAGTATCTCTCTTCCACATACACGCACACCCACCCTGTGACCTGGGCCGGCCCACATGCAACAGACGCAAGACAATTCAACGCTAGTCTAATTCGGATTGCGTTTACTATCCAAAGTCAACGTCCGGAGATGTCCGGAGCAATTGTGCAGCTGCTGCCTGTTGCTCCGTGCGACAGCGTTGCCGTTATGATTTGCGGTTGGCAATTTATCGTTCTAGCTGCTGTTTGCCCCCATCTCGAGAGAGTTCTTGCGCGGCATGTACGAGTTACTAATAAGTTATGTCCGTGTAGTTTTGAAATGAAACCCGAAGTACTCGTACAATCCACTTACGAGCTTGTTTTGTTCGCCGGCACTCTCTCTGGCAGTTTGTGCTGGTACCACTGCCTCCGTGAAAGGTTTCCTTCTTGCGTCGGACATTTGATCTGAAGTGGCAGCTATGACAGCGACAGACATTAGAAGTAGAAACAGCGGCAACAAAGACCACTCAGTATCCATGCCTCGGTGGAGGAATCGAACCACTCTCCCATTCCTAAGAGATTTGCTGCCAAGTCGGGGTTGCGTCAGCTGATTCTGCAATCTGCTATGACCTGTCCAAACTTCGCCTACAAGGCAGTGGGTGCAGCCATGCAGCAGATGATCGGCAACCTCATGCATCAGACTCTTGCAAACACTCTTCAGGTAGATCTGCATTCAGCATGCAGTATGCACTCACTTGTCACGAGTACTGCCTGCGATGGCTGCAGCTGCAGATTCAAACATGTAGCTCTTGAGAGTGAATTGTGAATTGTGGGGTTTCGTGGGCGCGGGCCACAGGCTCGAAAGATTCATGAACTTCGCTTTCGTTCAAGCGAGTAGCCACAACACCCTCTGGGCTTGCACAAAGACCGCAGTGGTCCGCCAAATTTGCAGCTGCAGCGTCTTGGCACAAGCGGTCCTGATTGCCGGTAGCGGAATCTCCTCAAAAATTTTAGGACACACGCGAAGTCGTCTCCTCTCCAACGCGCCAGTCCCAACGAGCCAGGCCCTGATACGTTGTAGCAAGGATAGAGCCGTCACAGTCCAAGCACACCTCAAGTCCGAGTGTGGGGGGGCACTGGGCAACTTGGCTGGGAAGCTCTGGCGTTTCATGCCAAGCCTCGTGCAGTTCCGGTCACGACCACAGCCTAGAGTCTAGAGATACCAAGGCACGGCGTAGCTGACGGAATCATCGTCTTCAGCCTTGCTGAACTCCCCCAGCGGCTGACCGCGACCGTTCCTCCACAGCCCGAACAAGTTAACGTGGAAAGGTGCAACGAACACATGTCGCAGGCTTCCTCCACCGGCAGATGCGGTCGTTTTCTGGATCGGCTACAAGCAGGGACCCATCGGCACAGCAAGCCACGCGCTGCGGATAGCTGAGATCCAGGTCACCTCGCAAAGCTGATGAATCGGCAAGGCAATGGTAGTGACCACAATGCTTTCATCCCAGATCTGCCTTCACCCTGTTGTCCACCTGCTACGACTTCGCCCTTGTCTGTTGGATGAGAAAGTTGAGGTATGAGGTAGTGCCAGCAGTTCAGGATGAGATGATCCTCGGCTATGTGGGAGATCTCAGGCAACCCTGCAGCAAAGCTCAGTCGGTCAGGGACTGTCCTGCTGCAGCAAGCCCGCCAAAGCCTTGGCTGATCAGAGCACCTCTGTTCGAAGCAGCACCATGCTTATTATTGTGCATACCATTAGTATAACTGAAAATTACTGTGCCATTATTACTATTGTCATTATTACTAAAAGCTACTACTAGTGTGAAAATGCCTCTGTCCGGACCGGAGAGCTTCCAACCGGGCCACAGCTAAGGAGTAGCACTGCCAAACGTCGACCAGCTCCTCGGCCAGGCAAACAACAAACACATCGATTTGCTGTTCAAAGCTCTCTTGCGCGACCGCTTCAGTGATTGAGGAGTACCCGGCATTACGATTTCGTGTCGCACAGGTTTAGGATCTCTTCTACGTGCTTTCGCTCAGGAGGCATGCTACTCGCCGCAGTCGTCGCCCCAAGCTTTCCTCCGCATGTGCGCTTGGCGCTCCGTGTTCGGGCTGGAAAAGCCACGGCTCTCATCCTTCTTCACTGCATGTACACCATCCCCTGCAAGAAAGCATCACCAGAGATGCGGGGGCGTAGGGCGCGGGTGGGCATGACACCTCCCAAAGCATCTGGCTTGATGTGAGGATGCAGACCCAACGCCACACTTCCAGCATCTGCGTCGGTTGTGCTGTCTGCCTGACAAGTGTTGCTTGGAATTTGGAATGCTGCTGGTACCGACGGCTTAGCTGGAGATCGGTTGTTGCAAACAAGCTGCGAAAGGGTCGAAGTTCTCCCTATGCAGATTTTTCGAAAAGCTCGCCATGTGTCCTGAATCCTGCTGGCTCAAAAAATAGCTCATCTGTTGCAATCTTGGTGACATCTCCCGTGCTTCTTGCGATTTGAGCGCTCAGGATGTGCAATCGCAATTCCGGATCCATTCTGCTGTCTCTGGCCCCGTGTTTTTGTTTGAGTGCGGCTTCTTTTGGTTCTATGATTCCCCTTTCGTAGCTGAAGCCTAGGGTTTGGAGTGCGATATGCCCTGGGCCCAATCCAAGTGACCCTAATTGTGGAACGCCGACCCACGGTGCACGGGCCTGGATCTTAGAAAGATCCTACACACACAGACACTCTGGGCACGCTAAGGCATGCGCCAGGTCTTGTAAGCATCGCAGTGATGTCTTGAAGACATGGCGATGCCTTCGGATTGGGGAAGGCAGTGTGTTCTGGCCAGTATCATATATATATATATATATATATATATATGGGCTACCCCCCCTGAAAGATCCATGTTTTTTAACTCTTTGGCGTGCTCTTACGGCTTAGGCAGTCTACCAGTGATCTCAGACCTCGTGCGACTGCCTACGTATATAAACGTGTGTGTGTGTATATATATATATATATATAGAACATATATATATATATATATATAAAAATAAATAAATAAATGTACATATATATATATATATATATATATATCTATGCCACCACCACCCTCCCCCCCAGCCCCGTACATACCAACAAACCCAAGCATGTCGACCTGTTCGCAGCAGCTGCTGCTTCTGTGCCTGCTCCTACTACTGCCATTGAGATAGTAACCCCCCAGGAGCAATCTCGACCATGTAATCTGTGTGTTGTTGCAGCTGGGAGCCGAAAACACTGTAAATACCATGAGATTCTGTATCGATTCTTTTGCGCCTGCTGTTTATGCGCATCATAACACAATACTCAACTTTGGATACAAGTACCAGTTTCGTGGCTCTGCTTCTTGTCGTGGCATATGCTGCAGCGACTACTGCTTACCACTACTTACTACTACTTACTGCTACTTATAACAACAACAAAAACAACAACTACTACGACTACAACTACAACTACAACTACAACTACTACTACTACTAATACTACTACTAATACTACTAGCACTATTCTTATACTGCTACTGCTACTACGACTACTGCTGCTGCTACTACTAATTCTATTATTATAAATACTCGTGCTGCGAGTACTGTTTCTACTAAATCTTAATCTTCACCACATTACTCTCAATGTTGGTAATAAATTCCTACCACTTTGTCAAGTCTCATCATTATGGTTGTATCAAACCACCACAAGAGTCATAATACTATTGCTGCTGCTGCTGCTACTACTACTACTACTACTACTACAGTCAACTACTACGAGTAGTAACCAAACATGAACATTAATTACGTTCAGGCCCTAGCCTTGATCCTGGTTTACTACTACCGCCTTGCCCTTATGCTAGTAACTAAACTCCTGCTAAAATGCCTTAAGGCATTTGTCATTCTCTCATAAAGCCAAAATATGTTCATTTCCAATTATTTAGGTGGGACTAATGAAACAACATTAAGACACTCCTTCACTTACACTATATTATTTCATTTACCCTGCAGGTTTAATCATTTATGTAATCGTGTACACTGAATCTGAAGCATCACATTTATCATCCTTTTGCATCAGGACTTGTGCAATCGGATAAATGTAAACATTAAACAGTCAGTGACAGTGACAGCCAAAAACAAAATGCATCTCTCTACCGTCTCTAAGAAAACAAATAAACCGTGGTAGTGGTTGTAAGTGTTGTACAGTTGCACATGACAACCAAGCCAAGTTTCACCTAAATACCTATAAAAAGAAATTTGAAACACAAATGGATGTCATTGTTACTTTTGATACACGTCATGGTTTGATCCCCCAGGCGAGCAAACTGCTTTCCCAATGTACTGCTGCGATTCAAGGTTTCGGAGTGAGTCCATGAGCTAGAATTTAATGAACCCAGCTTTCAATGAGGCGGCAAAGCACAAGTCCTCGGTAAATTAGAACACTAATAGGGCGCAAGAAGACATTCTGCACCGCGCGGGTCACTCAGCAAATTCTCTTTGGAACAGCATTTTAGCGATGTTCTTGCAAAAGTGCTGTACTGTCCCAAAGAAACCACGTTTTGCCAACGTGCTTTACGGTCACAAAAACCAATCTTGCCCAGTCTTTCAGGCTAGCTCCCCAGGCCTCCAAAAAGATTGGTTGTTCAGTGACAGTGCATGGCCACTGGTTTGTTTGACTTTGGTGCCGCAGACATGCACATGCAGACTGACACAGGAGCTGTGAAGATAACAAACCAAGAAGGGCAGAGGACCACATTGAAATATTGAAACACATTGATGTTCAATATGGCGGATCCAAGATTGCACGGGACTCCTGAAAGGAATCTTGGATTCAGGGAAAGCCATATTGAAATATTGAGGCCATATTGCATTTCAATATGGCGGATCCAAGATCCAAGATTGCACGGCACTCCTGCAAGGAATCTTAGATTCAGGGAGAGCAATATTGAAATATTGAGGACATATTGAATTTAAATATAGCAGATCCAAGATCCAAGATTCCTCCCCGAGAGTCCCGTGCAATCTTGGATCTTGGATCCACCATATTGAAACTCAATGTGGTTCAATATTTCAATATGGGCCGGGCCCCGGGAAAGCCATATTGAAATATTGGGCGGCATTGGGTTCCAATATGGGCAGTGATGAGGAGATGATCCGAGACATGTGAGTGGAAGGAGGGGTTTGTGCCGTCATGAGGAGACGATGGCGACTGGAAGAATGGTCGTGAGGAGATGCTCGCGAGGGGGAAAGAGGTGAAAACAGACAAAATACATGGATCTTGGGGGGGGGGGTACCATATGTGTATATATATATACACACACATACATCTACATCTGTTTGTCTAAATCTGCACATATATATATATATATATATACATATCTGGTTGCGTGTGTGTGTATACATATATAACTATATACAATTATTATACATGTATATGCATACTGAGACTGTCCATTTCTGCAGCCCGGCCTTGCTGTAAGCTGTGAACGGAGTTGTGGCTCAACGCACCGGTCGCCCATGAGCTATGCAGAAGATACGGTGGTGCCGGAGACCCAGTTTGTCTGCGCTGTTCGGTGCAGGGACGTCTGTTTGTCTCATGGCCAGTTGCATGCAAGTAAGATGTTGTGCCGCGGCATATAGACGCGGCTCCTTGTTCTCACGCCTTGAGAAATAAGCACTACCCAGCGGGAGGCCCACACGTGGGCATCCCGTCTCACCGCAATCAAGCAAAGCAGTGCAAGCCGGCAAGGAAAACTTCAGCAAGGCCGGAACCTGCTCGTCCCTCTGTGACTTGTGCCGGCGAACCTTCCGCACCTGTCCAGCTTCTGGGACTGAGCTGCGCAAAAGCAGCATGCATTTCGACATAGGACCAACCTCCCAACTCGTCCAATCTCTCACTGTATCTCCCCCTCATGCGCCTTTCTGCGCTTCTCCGGCTCTGCGTCTCCTGCTTACACCAGCTCAATCTCAACAGAATCTCAGCAAACTAAGTATTCGGTGTCAAGTCGCCCTTCCGGCGTCCAACTCCAGTAATCTACACAAGCGGGTAAATCTCAAACCTCCTACTTCCCCGAAGTCCTCCCGGGGATCGCTGCCTACGCCCTCAGGGATGTTCAGCGAGTTCATGCTTCCATGCCAGAGGCGCTGACCGGAGCTGTGCAACGCATCCACCCGAGGCATGAGCTTTTTCGCTTGCCACTCGAAGCTCTCCGCTCCTCCTCCGCCTCCTAAAAACCAAACTCGCGGTTTCGTTGTCCCGTTGTCCGAATGCTCACAGCAATCCCTGGCACAACCTCGCCAGTCGTGCCTCTGATTCCGCGTGGTACTCCTCAGGATCCTTGCAGCTGGTACCGCGCGTCGGTTCGTGTGGCTAGGGGCTGCCCCATGCACAATCTCCGCTCCTCCTCTTCCTCTCTCTCCGGCTCCAGCTCATGTCGGGCACCGTCGCTGCTACCTCGGCGTTGTCAGAGGGAGCTGGGATCTTGTCTAAGGCGACTGTCCCCAATGAGCATCTATCTGAGTGCTGCTTGGCGTCTCCTCTCACTTCTTGGCTGATAGCGCTCTGCCGACCTGGCTTCTCACGCTTCACTGCAGAACGCCCAGGTAGTGCACTCCAACTATCGCAGTTATGGATCAACATTTGCCGCGGGCTGCCGGCTAGCTCTGCACTCGCTTGCAGGACCTTGGCAAGTCATTTAGCTCAGTACCCAAACCCCTTGTCGAGCACCCTCGCCTTCGAGATTCGTCTGGGTGGAAATCGAAGCTACGAGTATTTTGCACCCCAGTATGTACGTGAATATGTACGAGATCAAACACCACAATTTCCCAATCCTGTGCACTTTGTGCGTCCGGCTGCGTGATCGTGAGCGAGAACAGGCAACCTGGACGCAGGCTCAGCTCCGCATCCGAACACTGTGTCCAAGTTAGACGCGGAGCCGCGTAGTTGATCGTACTGCATGACATGGTCTGATCTTATATTGCTTGCGCTACATTGTACTATATTCGGCTCCTGTTCTTGCAGATTCTAGCCAAGCGGCCTCTACCCGCCTCGCACTCCGAGGACGGAGCACAGCCTTTCGAGACCGACAGCTCGCTCTCTTAACAGAAAGATCTGAAATCAGCGGCCTGTCTGCGCTTTGGCATGGAGCGGTCTCCTTCTACAGATAGATGAGCATGTGCACATCTATATATATATATGTATAATGTATGCACACATAGACTATGAGCCGTTTGTTTGTGCTGGCCCTGCCGGACGATGTTCTGTCTGCCTGTCCGTCTGTCTCTACGTCTGTCTCCGTCTGGCGTGGCCCTTGCAATGACAGGAAATGCTGCTCGAATCTTCGACTGTCTTTATTAGTTGTGGTTGCAATACGTAAAGTGAAAGCTACATGCAGAACAAAACAGGCCAAGTGCATGGTCGGGGCTGAGGAGAAGTGAATTGTTGGAATATGGCTTGGCTTCATACAGAGGTTCACCGTCATGTCAAGCATCACGGAAGCTTGTCTTCAAACAGCCATGCTTTGTGGTTTGCTGTCTTGAGCCGACCGGCCGACAATGCGCGCCTTGGATTGAAATTTTCAGGTGTGGGTTGGAACTGCTTGTCGTCGCGTGCATGTCCTCATGAGGGAATCCGTCTTTTCCCGCGCAGGGCTGTTCACGGTGTCACAAAACCTGAGAGGCCTGTGCAGCCTGGGAGGTCTTGAGCGATAAATTGCAACCAACTTGGCCGCACAAAACGACGATGCTTCTCTAGGCCTAGGCTGCCTCATCTCTCATGGCAGTCCCTGCAGCGCGGGGCACCCAGTATGGCCTGGCGTGGCAACATCCGATCTGAACGGCAGCCAATCCACATCGGCATGTGAGGGCGCACCCCTGCTCGGCAAACTGCGACATCAGCTCGAAGACCTGCACCAAGAAGGGGTGTAAATTTTCTTGGTGGCTCTGTGGGCATGGTCCGGACAGCCGCTGAAGCCTGGCTGTCCAGGAGGCCACTGAGCCAGTTCGAATGCCACTGCAGCAGAGTTTTCACCTCGGGCAGGTCTCTATAATTATTCATCTTGTGATAAGAACAAGTACTGTCATCATTATGACGACTAGTTGCGTTTCCGAGAGCCGCACCAGATCATGCTTTGCATAGCGCGCATCGGTGCTGGTCTGGCCAAATGCGACAGGAGCCCGAAGCCAACGTGAGCAATTGCAGATTGCTTCCTTGTAAACGAGAAGGAAGGATCTCTCGCATCGCAATTGGCAGACACTTACCCCGTAGTTTCAAGACTGTCCAACTAATGCCAGTCACCAGCTGGAGCTCGCTTCTGATGCCAGGTGCAAACTTGGAATGGACATGCCGTGCCGTGCATCCAAAGGCCACAAAGGCTGTCTGACTTTCGGGCCGCCTCGGATTGGAAGTTCAACCTCAAGCAGTCGCCACACAACTTCTATGCTCGGGACCCACAGTTGGAGCTGGCACCCTCAACATCTGTTGAATCCACGAAGGCCTCCAAACTACCTGTCTTTCTGAAGCCCGTCCAGTTCATCCACCCTCCATCTCTCCCAGAACATAGGGGACCCTAGTATAGCACCCTACATAGTAGGATCCTCATTACAAGGACCCCAAATTAAGGTATCCCTAGTTTTCGGAAACTCCCATCTGAGTCGAGGTACAGGAGCTCCTGGACTTCCTGCAAGCGCAAGCCGCACCCGTGCGATTCTTTCTGCAGGGCCTATTTCTGGACTTAAGGCAAGGCGCTCTACGTCTGCTCGGGCAGAACTAGCAATAGCAGGATGCCCCAAAAGTGTTAACTATCATGCTGCTGGCGCACACTTTTGCAAGACTTGCTCGTTCGACCGATCTTAGACACTCAGCCGGCACTCCTGGGACTGCAAGGCCTGTTGCGCAGCGGAGCGGGACCTCCAGGCATCTGCACAGCCCATGTTGTACAAGAAGCCCGATATGTTATATAGATAAAGAGAGAGAGAGAGAGAGAGAGAGAGAGAGAGAGAGAGAGAGCGAGAGCGAGAGCGAGAGAGAGAGAGAGAGAGAGAAACTTGACAGCTGTTGAACATGTACTCAAGGCATCCGCACGTCATTGTCCTGTCTTGCGTGCAGGTTCTTGACATGGGGTCTCGAGGGTCTAAGCCTGCAGACTGCTGTTTGGCAACGAACATCCTGAAGCAAGCGACAAGAAAGCGGAGTCCTTTTGTACCGACCTTCACACTTACCATCAGCAGGGATCGAGGCTAAAGCAAGCACAAGTCTGACCTGATCACTGTGGTAGTCCGTGGAGCCCCGACTCCGACTCCCGCATTTTTATGACTTGATACGGCGGGATAACTGCAAAGCCCGACCACAAGAGACAGCGACCTCTGCGCCTCTGCGCAAGACCGCCCAAGCACCGGTAGAATGCTGATGTCACATCTTACTTCTGCGACGACGCAGCTTTAGCAAGGTACCACACTCCAAAGCAAACTCGAAAGGACCAAACCCCAAACAAACTGCTTCGTTCGACGCCTCCCCGTGTCACCCAAAATCTGCTTCTGCTACTGTCCATCCGATATGATATGCGGGCCATCAGGCTGATCGCCCCACCATCGTCAGAGCCAGGCACACAAGCGTGAGGTATTGCCGCTTCACAGTAGAAGTAGCAAAGCCCCAACCTCACCAGGACTGACAGCACGCGCCATGTGTGAGGGCGCCTCGGAAAACAAACGAAAGGTAGGGGGAGATATTTATCCGCCGCCGTTTTGTGCCGCTTCTAAGCACGGAAGATCTCACAGTAGTAAGTGTCTCACACATCTGGAAAGGGCTTCACGGACAGGTTCTTCAAGACCTTGGTCTCTGTTGGTGCTTTCCGGATGCGCTGCTTCGGCTCGAGCGGTGCGCTGTCTGTGGCTCGGGCTGACGGAGTTACCTGCTGCTCAGCAATTGTCCAAATCTCTCGAGGCGCCTCCTGTGCCTGGCAGTCCACGAAACGATACGAAAGTGCAAAACTCCCAACAAACACATGAACAAGAGAAAGCGCGCAAACTCGCTTACATCCATCCCCCAATGCTCAGGCGAAGCTCTGTCCGCTAATCGACCGGTTTGCACCGAAAATGTTGAACGACTTCGTGAAAACTGGGCGCCTTTTATACTTGATGTTCGAAATGCATGTTGCAGCACGCAGCACGCCCGTGATCAAGAAATGTCGAAGTATGAGCCTGGCTGGTTTCCAGCAGAGGCACCCCGTGACGAATGCCAGGGGATGATGCTCGAAAGCTTCATATATATAATGTCACCAGAAACTCATCTTTCAAAACTTACGCGTTGTTGGCCAAGCGGTCGTGGCGAGTGACACTGGTCTTTCTGTAGTCAGCACTCCGGCACTGAAAAGCTCAATGACTCAAGTAAGGCTAGAATTCCGATGTCTTGGTCTGAGACATGCCGCCACAGCAGCATGCACTTGGGGAGAGTAGGAAAGACCAGCGACAATGTAGCTTAAAAGCAGAAAAGAAAGACTCGGCGCGGCCGCCTCAAGGATGGCTCAGCTGAGAGTGCCCATCCTGCGGCACTGCCTACACCTGCGCCACGGCGCAGCCGTTTACTGGTAATGGTGCGTGGTGGCTCCTGTCCAGGCCTTTCGGGCAGGAAACTGAAGAAAAGAAGCCAGGCAGGAGAAAAAAGGAGCCTTGCCTTGCTCAAGGTGTAGACAAGTACCACCAAGACCATGCCGGCTGCCAGCCATGGTCCAGCTTCCCAATCCAAGCGAGCTTCGCCTCACAGCGAAACGCGAGCTGGGCTAGCGCTACGAACTTTGGGCCCTTAGGCCCTTATGCCCTGCAGAGCCATGCAGTAGAATGCAGTTCGGCGGCGATTCTTGACCACTTTGGAGCGCCCGGTGATCTCCGAGAGCCGCTGAAAATAGGCAACCTCGGCTCTGGTTTCTGTCCCGTTGCAACCTGGACCTGGCGAACACTTGCTCCAGTCTTGCGGCAAAGGGGCCAGAATCCACACATAGTAAGTGAAGGTTAGTGCCTGAGAACTGAACTTCGGGCTTTGCACTGGCTGAGCAAGAAAATGCCTGACCCATCAATCGTGGACGTGGCCCTTCAGCGACTTGCAGATTGGGCAGTGGTAATGATAAACATAACAACAACAGTAATAGTAGTTAATAACAGTAACAAGGATAATAGTAATAATATTTATAATAATATGTAATAATCATACTAAAAACAATGCGGAGTCAGCATCTGGACTTCCTGGTCTGGCTGAGGTGCGGCGAGGATGAGGCCGAAGATCTGGCGAATGAAAAGCGAGCCACGAGAAGATTTGCAACGCTCTGACTCATGAGATGTGAATAGGGCCTTGGGGCCCATTCTGCTATATTTTATAATATCTTATAATAATAATAATAATAAATAATAATAATAAGGACCCCAAAAATGGTATAGGTATTGATATTTGGAGCCGTGATCAGCGCACGAGCGAGTGCCTTCATTCCTCTGCCCCATCACGAACAAGCGAGAAGTGTTGAGGCCCACCCGGCCTTGACGTCCCGACTGTCATGGTTCATGGCGACGACTGCCACAGCAGCCACGTACCTTGCCAGCTTCACTTCCGCTAGCCGCTAGCCCCTCGCTTGTCGTCTGTGCCGCAGTGGTTCTGGAGGCTCGAACACAGCGGCTCACGATTCTCCATCCGATGTGCGTGACAATTCTGACCTTCAGTCGTGCGGCATGCCTTTCTCCGCATAGTGCAGCAGTGTCCGCTCGTTTGCGAAGACCGCTTTGGGGTCCAGGTTCTCCATATCCTGCCGGAAAGGCTGCAGCGCATCATTCACTCGTCTGCCTATCCACGATTTGAGCAGATTCTCAGAGCAACGGATGTACGTTACACACACACACACGAAGATAACCAAGATTGAACCCCTTCGCATGCACCTTCAGGAAATGGCCCTCTCCCTGAGGAGCGACGACCTTCTCCACCGCCGGTACCTGGGAAGGCATGACCTTCTCATATCTTCTCGCCATTGCTAGTTCCCGCGCTACTCCCCACTGCACTTTAAGGGTGTAGGGAGGCCTCTCCGGCACCCCACAGAGAGAGAGGGAGAGGGACACAAAAACCAGGATGGACAAGGGCAAGAGGCACAGCGAGGGTGGTGGCCAAGGCGACGGCTCTCGATTTCTTTCTGTAGCATTCTGCCTTCCTTCACCTCCCTCCCTTCTAGGGCTTTCCACAAATTAAATAGGGGACCCTAGTATACTACCCCCTCAATAGTAGGATCCTGAAGGCCCCCCCAAAAAAGTACCCCTAGATCCCTTCAAGGATCCCTTCAAGGACACCAACATAAGCTAGCCCCCGCAACTGGGGGTTTCCGAAAATAGGGGACCCTAATATAGTAGCCTAAATAGTAGGATCCTTATTATAAGGACCCCTAAATAAGCTACCCCTATTTTCTGAAACTCCTAAATCTAGCAAACTTGGGGTCCTTATAGTAAAGACCCTACTATCTAGGCTACTTTTTTTAGGGACCCCCAAAGTTTCGGCGCAACTCCGAGCCGCTGTGAGGTCGAGCTCCGTGAAGGAAGAGCCCTGGGTCATCTGGATTCGCTCCTTAGAGCCTCGGAGGTGATCTTTTTTTACGTTAAAAATTCATTTATTCCTCGGAGGTTAGTGTTTTTTTTTAAGGTTTAAAGTAAAATTCGTTTTGGCTCCTCTTTGGGCCATGTATCGATGTTGTTTTCATGACTTTCTTAGTATTCGTGTCGCTACTTCTGTTCTTAATTGTTCTTCTTCTGCTTGTTGCTTTTGTTCTGTGCATTGGTATGAGCAGTCCTGACGTTACTACCGGCACTTTTCTTGTCACCCTTAGAAATTTTGCAATTTCAGATAGACAGCTTTGGGCCCTGGCTTTACCCAATGCACCAATGATCCTTCCAGGTCAACCCTGCTATCTTTGCCAATCTCCACATCTCCTAGGTTAGGATCTGACATATCTCCCGCTTTAATCACAATCCGGGCGGCTCAGCTTCTGCCGGCGTCGGAAATTGGCTTCGGCGTCGTCCTCCCAGCGCGCTTTTCGAGCCGGGATTTCGCCGGCTTCTGTTTCTGCCATTCCACTGTGAACGGGTCGGCTGGGGTTGGGTAAGAATGCTTCAAAAAGGGACAGGCTCCTTGACGCTCATCCCAAGATCCTGCCTACATAACTGGACTTGCCCTCGCTTGGCCATATCATCATGTCCGAAGCGGTATCATCACTGTTCTCAACCCTTCGAGTCGCCACGAACCTCGCAGAAACTCGAGAATACTGTTTAATTATGTGGTACTCGTATCCATGTCTATTTCCCCTCTGCCACGAATGACCGTGGTATTAGAGGAGGCCTCTGCACCGGAACAGGAAGAAACTTCAGACCACGCGCTCTGCGGGCTCCTTCTTGTTCTGCCACTCCAGGAAATCTTTGTGCCAGTGCGGCAGAATTGGTACTCGCTGTGGGTGCAGGAATGCCATCGCATGCCTGAACCAGACGCCAGAACGCACGCACTGCGGTGCTAGGGGCCGTGGTTCTCATGACTTGCATGCGGCGGGCTGAAACTTGGAGAATTTGTGAACTTGGATCGCCTGGCATGCAATTCGCACATTCCCCAAAGGATGCCCACTGTCACTGAGAACGACTGACAGAAGCGTGGCAGATGTTCGCTGATGTCGTTGAGTGTCTGCCGGAGCCACAGGGGAGCCTCAGACACATCCTGCAGCTTGATTTCGAGGATGGCATACCTGGGCTCCAAATTCGGAGAACCCGGGAAGAGCAGGGTGTATTGGACCCCGTTATGTTTGTGGGTTTACTAAGAACTCGGACGAAAATGCAAGTGGTTTGTTCTGATTGCCATGCATTCTCCCGAGGTCGGCATCTTGCACAGCATCTGAAAACCCTACGCTCATCCAGAAAAAAATTGAACATGGGCGCTGAAGATGACCTAGTGGCGGGAAGCGATAGACGTCGTCCCGCTGCAAGCTGTCTGATGCTATATGGCCTTACAAGGCTCTCTGTTGCTCATGAGGATGCAGTGGACGGCAGATGAACGGCACGAAACCAGTCACTACAGCCAGCAAGGTGCACCAGGGCTTGTTCTGGTGTCCTCCGGCCATGTACTCCTTGGATTCGTAGCATCAGGCAGCGTTCTGAACAGAAATGGCGGGAGACTGGAGACATGCCAAATCCACCTAACCGTACAAGCGCAGGCGCATTTAGAAGCGACATCTGCGTGTCAAGGGAAATGCGGACTTTGTTGTCTGTCGCAAGCCTGCGCTGACGATGCAAGCTTGCAACTCCCACTGGATCAAAAGACGCTTGATGATGCTTGATGTCTTGCAGCCCTGTCGCTGAAAGGCACATCTGTAATACGAAGTACGGATGATGGGCTGCAGTTTCCTTGTGCCAAAGAGCAGGCCACAAGCTATGCAGGTAGTTGGCTCAACGGCTGAACAGACCATTGCCTGGCTGGGTTGGTCATGTCGACATGTCGCAGCCAAGCTTCTTGTCTTGGATCAACTTGTTCACCTATGCTGATCTGTGTGAGGTGGCCACCGATGCTTGTACAGGACGCACTTGCATGACACCCGGCCTCAACTGCGATGCCCTTCATGTTTTTTCTGGCCTTTTCCGAGTACATGCCCTGCTCCTCGAGCCTTGGATAGCGAACGGATGCAGTAGGCAGATCGTAGAGGAGTCGTCTCGCTGCCTTGTTCTACTAGCAGGATTGAAAGAGAGCGACGATATTCAGCCAAGCCGCTGCTTGAAGTACCCATCAATGTCAAACTTCCCTTTCATGAAATCGAAGATGTCCTGTGCACCCGGCAAACATGCTGATTGTCGGCTGCAGTTCACAGTGCCGGCCTCCTGGGGAATAACGCAGCGTTCTTTCGCTGACTTCTTGCCACCCCAGCCCTCGTGGTGGATCTTTCGCTCCACGTAGATCTCTTTGTCGGGCTCCTGGCTATTCCTTGCAGGTGACTGCTTCGCAGCCAGGTTTCGGGAATAGAGGCGGGGTAAGGCGTGTCCGCCTCCAACCGGAAACCCCGAAGCCGAAGCCTCACAGCCGCCACGACAAACCCGAACCTCCCTGGCCCAGGCCTGTTTGTAGGAAACGGAAGCTAAAGTGGTGAGCGCACTTGGGGCGCTTGGTGCAAAGTTTGCAGCCATCCAAACGAACTTTACGTTAACGGTACCACGATTACCTAGCTGATCATGCCTTCACTTTTAAGAAGACGGCAAAGACTCAAAATTCGAAAATCCAGTCCAAGATCATCGAGCAACATGTCATGACCAGGAAACAAACGGGAGAGGCAATATGAACCCCAGATTGGGGCCGTGCTGCAAAAACTTGTGGGTGCGTTTTGAGTGCAGAGAAAAACGATGCAAACCTGCCTGACACAGGCTTCGATGGAGTTGAGTTCTCTCCCCTGAACAGGACCCCAGAACCATTTCAATGTTCCTACACCCTACGCTCCGAGATTGGGTGCACGAGGTCGTGCCTGGTCTGTCATGATTAAGGATCGGAAGCCTCCATCAAAAAACGCTGAAAAAACGTTGCACATTGCGGGCTTGGTTTCTCGCCATACCATCGAAACCTGCCAAAGCATTGCGGCATGTGTATCGTCAAGTCAGCATGTCCTGAATTGGCCCGTTGACAGTGGAACAGCCAACGACACCATAAGAGAGGTGGAGGCAAACCCAAATGTCGCTGCCTGACCAGTCGGGCGCCCTCTTCGCGGCGGATCCGCTCCTGGTAGCTCGTTGCCTCCGGACCTCGGTCCAGGTCCAAGCAGGCACGCGCTGGGCAGTGGTGGTCTTGCTCTTTCGATGTGTGCCCGATGAAACAAGGGCAAGTCACCTCTTTCGGCGGTGATCTTGTGGACTCACGCTCGGGCTGGGGCTTAAGGGGAGAGACGGGCAATGCGAAGCCGTGCTTTCGGTTGGCGTGGCGGGATTTAGACCCTGGTTGGTTGGGGAGGCGGGATTAAAACCTCTGAGAATACGTGCGACATGTGAGCAGTTCCGGGTCTCTTGTGCGCTGCATCAAATTGAGTCTCCATCGCATCTCTCTCTCCCTGGCCTGGGGCCAGAGCCAAAGGATCTGCTCGGATCGGGGCTGTGGAAAACGACACGGAGCAAATCTCCAAACCCTTCAACACCCCAGACCGCAATGGTCAAGCAGCTGGCCCCTCCATGCAGTTCCTTTCTCGTGTTCTGCCCTTCATGCTCCGTCTACACATGACTGTCGCCCATGTTGAGGCCCTGACTGTCGAAGTACACCGAGCTGAGAAGCTGCGACTCCTCCATTGTGCCCGAGTAGGCGCTGAGAGCCTGAAGAAATCAAAAACGCTGATCTTTGCGCCAGCTTTAAGGACAGAAGCTTGCCTTGGAAAGGCTCGATGGGCCAACATGACAGCACGCTTACGACACTCTCTCCTTCTGGTCATCAAGGCCGTCATACTCCAGATCCAAGAGCGCGAAAGGTTCCAGAAGCTTTTCTTGCTCCTTATCGACGCCCCGTTCGGAAATTCGTGTGACATGTGCATACCAGGACATGCTTGCTCGCAGGTCGTAGGCTCGGTCGGAGATGTATGAGTAAGCCTACACATGCAACATGTGCTGGGTCGCAGAATTGTCTTCCAGTTCTAGATTCCAGCTATGTCGGCCCCTGAACGTATGCCTGCGCCGTAAGGTCCACAAAGTTTCTCTATGGCAACAGACTGATTCCATGTAGTGGCAACTCTTTCACTTCCAAGCTCCATCATGCCATATGACCACGCGGCTGCAGCTCTATTTCTTGCAGCCGTGACTGTTGACAATGCTGGTAGATAAGTAAAACTAGCTCTGGCCAGGCCATTGTAGAAGAGGCGCTGTTTGAGATGCGCCGAAGATCAGATACCTCGAACATGGTGTGGGCTCAGATGGCATATGTCTGCCATTTCTCAGTGTGTGAATCACTGCACCGCAATTGTCGTGCATCCAGCGGCGGCAGGTGTTCCACGATGCGAGTCTTCAACAGGACCACGTTCTCGGGTGCTACCCAATATTTCGACGTGTTCCTCAGTGCTACAGGCGTCGACGGTGCATACGGATCATATGAATACATATATATATATATATGTACTTAATGTACATAGGTACAAACAAAAGAGGGAGAGAGAGAGAGAGATATATATATATATATATAATATTCAAAAGTACGTATATATATATATATACACACATATAGACATACAACTACCAGCAAGGAAAGGTGCCGGATGAAGCTCTCGGGCGGCTTCCAGGTCGCATCCTCTACAAAGGCAGAGGGGGGAAGTTTGCAGGGCCCTATGAAACCCCAAGCATCCCAAAGAGCAGTAGCAGTAAGAAAAGTAGTAGTAGTAGTAGTAGTAGTAGTAGTAGTTGTTGTTGTAGTTGTTGTTGTTGTTGTAGTTGTTGTTTTTTGTCACCCACATAGTAGTAGTTTTTTGTCACCCACCTAGCACGGCAATGCCAGCGTAGTAGTAGTAGTAGTAGCAGCAGCAGCAGCAGAAGTAATGGAAGTAAGAGTAAACTTAATAGTAAAAATAACAACAACGACAACCGCAGTAGTACCAAAAACAAAACAAAAATGACACAATAGTCGCGTAGCAGAAATAATGATAAAAATAGTTTCCAAGTAGTAGCAGTAGTAGTAGTAGTAGCAGTAGTAGCAGCAGCAGTAGTAGTAGTAGTAGTAGTAGTATTTGTCACCCACATAGTAGTAGTAGTCGTCGTCGTGGTGGTGGTGGTGGTAGTAGTAGTAGTAGTTGTAGTTGTAGTTGTTGTTTTTTGTCACCCACATAGTAGTAGTAGTAGTAGCAGTAGTAGTAGTAGTAGTAATGATAATGGTAAGAACCATAGTGGAAATAAAACCAAAAGATTAGCAACAACACTCGTAATGAGTAGCGCTCCTTGCTTTGCTCAGAGGATTGCGCCGTGCGCCACAGCGCCCATGCCAATCCCAGCAGAATCAAAATGTCATCGAAGCGAATGTTACCTGATGCAGTACCACAGTAGCATGGATGTGCCATGGTACGACACACGAAAGTTTGACAATAGGGCAACAAAAGTTGCTACGGGCAACCAGACGCAGAAAGGCTCGCAGTGAAGACCTGACACAAAAAGCGCACTGCCAGCTGTGCCCAGGAGGTCGTCGAACTTCTCAGTGAGCGTCTGGAAACCCACGTAGTTCAGCCGTACAAACCTGGGATGGCAGAGCTAACCCCGGCTTCTCCTGCTGTTCATCAGCCGTCTAGATTGCCGAGGTGCGAATCTAGGTGGACAATTTGCTCGCCAAGCTCTCGAATGTTCGCGGCCTTGTTCTGTATTTCCTTGGCACGTCCGAGGTGGCTATGTGCGGCTCAGAGGAACCATGGACCATACCGGGCGTCGTCTGGCTGCAGCTTCTTGCACTGAGCGCACACCTTCCGGAGGCCGAGGAAAATGTCCTCGTGCTTCACCTCCACTACACTCGCATACAACTCCCAGATCAGAGGAACAGCAAGTGCAAGCGGTGCAACAACATAATAAATTACCCAGAGATGATTTGCTGCTTTGGAAGCAGCCAGAATCGCATCACCGATTAATGCCGTCAGCACAGCACAACATGCTTAAGCATGCATAACGAAACATCCACGCATCGCATGCATGTATAGGTGACACTCTCCTCTCCGTCGCCCTTCGGGTCAGAACGTAAGCAACTGGACGCAGTGCAGCCGGAAGGCGCATGCAAAGTCATTCACCTTGTTCAGCTCTGCACGGAGCATCCCCTGAAAGCGCCCCATCTTTGTCGTGTCATCCAACATGTCTGCCGTCCTGAGTGCGAGGTTCAATCAGCCCAGAGCCGATGACATTCATCCTGATACATACAGCAAACCCCCACACCCTACCGTACAACCTAAACATGGCCCCCACCCTACGGTACTGCATCCAAGAAACATGAGGCGGCCTCGTCCGGAACACGGGTCTTCTTCTTCCTCCTCTGCCATGTTGATCACGGCCTGCTTCAGTTCCTCATAGTTCCTCATAGAAGTCAAAGCCAGATATGTTGCACAGTACATGCATCAAACAGCCACTCAAACGCTACTGTACTGGAGCCTCCCGGCCCGAAACTGCAGGTCGCTCTCTTACTGCTTTCGGCCGAGGCACACATAGAACTGCTGCCAATCCGCGGGCTCCTGGCAAAAGCATGACGAAACTGACACGAGAATCTGAGATATGCCTGCAAAGACACTGGATCAGCGAAGACACTCGACCCGAAAAAATTGCGATTGCTTCCTGTCCTGAGCAACCTTCTTCGTGAAGCCCATGGCTCTGGCTACACCTTGCCTACGTACTGCGTCTACACGTGGTGCATGGTGTTTTTTGGGGTTGTGGGTGTTTTTGGGGGGCTGTGGCTGCGACAAGGTCGTCGGCGCTTCGGGCCAAGAAGCTACGAAGCTCCCCGTGAGGAGTTCCGCGTGATGGTCCGAGCTGGGTGATACTATCTGATACTGATGCCTTTACGGCCAAATGTCAACGACTTCCGGCCGCAGACGTTTGTTGCCTCGTCAATGCTATCAGTGATCGGCACTCGGTCCTGCAGAGCAGGAGGCCAATTACAGTAGGCGACAAGGGTTGATGGTGCAGAGGGCCTGCAGAATCGTGGCCCAGGCATCCATGGCCGCCTTGGCCACTTCATTCTGCGTTGCGCTGACCAGGGACACCATCTCCTTCCGGGATGTCATGAAGTAGCGTGACTGTGCATGGTACACATGCATGGGCTTTATCCCTCTGTCCCTTTGGTCCTTCGTGGAACCGATCTCATGATTGCAAGAAGCAGGTGCTCAACGCAAACGTCAACCCCGACCGGAAACAACCAGTCTTGGACGCCATGTCCTGCAGCAACGGCGTCCACCTGACAAGATGGTCTTGAACTTCACAGTTTTGGGAGAAGATGCTGGATCATCCCAGGGCGCCTCAGAAAGAAGCTGAGGCCCTCAGACTGCAGCGAAGCAGTGGCCTTCCATTGCATGTTAGGGTTTACGAAAGCTTCTGGAGTGCTTTTGAAACATCAGTGGGGCAAAGGAACCCATAGGAACCCGGCCCAAGCATTGATCGCACAAAGCCTCTCCGAAACATCTCGGCCTTGTATGCAACTCAATAGTGTCAACAGTGCAGTCGAAGTGCAGCTCAAGATCAATTCGAAAGCAGCGGCTAGGACATTCCACAAGTGCGCTGAAGTTGTATTCTTGAACAATTAGTATATACGAAGCCGTACTTGAGTAATTAATGGAACTTCCCTGCCAATGCAGCAGCGACAGCTGCGATGACGTGCAAGTCACTGGGCATGATGCTGTCGAGCATGCCAGCAATCGACTGTGGAAACGGTGCCTCGCAGCAACTCGCGACAAGACGCATTACCAAAGCCGCTGCGCGAATATTTTCACGAGCCACAGCTCAAGCAGCAAGCCGCCTCATGACTGCTGAGAAGAAGTTGTGCTGATGCAGCGCTTCGTCCTCCCATATATGAAACAGAACGACAAAAGAGACTGCGTATAAGACTCGGAGTGCTTGCACACAGTAGTCTGCTTATTATACTTATGGCTTGCGTTGTGGTGATTATCAGTATCGTTACCACTCCCAGAACCACTATGATGGTTGTTACTGCTATCATAGCTATTACTAGTTCCCGATTTTCCCGATGAACATTACTATTTCTGTTGCCGGTGCTACCTATACGAGTACCACTATGTATATGCATGCATGCCATACCTATTTGGATATACATATTTATATATACACATATCTTCCATATATGTATATATGTGTGTATATATTTGTTTTTTCCCTCTCGCCCTGCCCAAGCTGCGAGGTGAAGACTAGCCAACTCTCTCTCTCAGAAAACCACCTGGCGAAGAGTGTACACGTCATGCACCAAATTATTGGCAATCGTCCAAGCGACCTGACTCCACAATCGCCTGACACTGCGACTAATTACGTGCCCTGCATGAGAGAAGCTTGCCAGTGACAGCAGCAGCAGCAGCAGCAGCAGCAGCACAAAAGCAGCCACCGGAAGCGTACGCTTCTGCGCACACCAGTTGCAGCCCCAGTCAGCACTTGACGAAAAAAAAAATATATCTATATATATGTATATATATTAACAGACATACAGACATAGAGCACATACATACACACATATGCACATACATGTTGACACACCCACTTGTATGTCTGTAGATGTACATGTAGATGTAGATGTATAGCGGTTTTGTATGTGTTCATTCGTTTATACGTCTATATATATATGTGTGTGTGTATATATATATATATATATATATGCATGTATGTGTATGTGTATGTATATGTATATGTAGCTGTGGTGTACGTGTTCGTTGTTTGTGTTTACGTGTACGTGTATGTATATGTACACGCATGTGTACATGTACATGTGCATGCCTGATTACATGCAAATCTGTATACATGGTAAGCCCGCTATTGACCAAATGCCGAAATTTTGAATATGCACGGTTTTGCAGGGGTCGAGAAGAGCAAGAAACCTTGCGGTCGAGAAGAGCAAGAAACCTTGCGACAAGTACCCCACATGAGCCAGAAGAACCAGAGGTCGTTTATGCTTTGAAGACGACATTCAACAATTTAAGGAACAAACAACACAAGAAGAGTTAGAGCCCAGTTTTATTTCGAAAACCAGCAGTAAGAAGAAGCCAAAACACAAATTCACAGCGCCTGTGTCCACATATGTCTCTTCGATAAACCCAATCAACAAGGAAAACTTACATGACGGTGAGTTTCACTTAATTATAACTGCACGCCGAGAGGGAGATTCGAACACATTTCTAAGGCATTACGATTGTATTGAAGTCTTTGCACACACACGCGCACACACACACACACACGACTAGTTGACGGCATACGTGAGGCTGCAAGCAGCGGAATACCTTTGACTCTGAGCATGTTCTCTAGTGTCCATCAATGTGCAAAAACGAACCGGCATCCAGCTGTTTTATTTAGGCAATGGCTGGGAAATACCCTGGATTTCGAGGGAGCCTTGCAACACACACACACACACACACATACATGTATACATACATACATACATACATGCGTCACATATATATGTACATATACACATACTATACATATGAAACTGCTCGCATGGATGTCTCTGTATGTATGCATGCTTGCATGTATATACATTTCTCTATACACATATAAATAAATAAATATGTACATACATATACATATACATATACATATACATATGAGTGTGTGTGTGTGTGCGTTTACCGTCGCCTTGATCATGTCTCGCTGTTTCTCCAAATTCTCTGCATTTCCTACTACATCGGATTTCTGCCTATGGCTACGACCGAATCAAACACCGTGTTTTCGTTATGCATTGTGCAGGGCATGGTTGCCCAAAGAACCTGACTCGTCATCATCCTGCAATACAAGCTGGCACCTGCTGACACGCACAGACACACACACACACACACATGAACAAAATAACTACACCTCAACTGAACCAAGTGTTGAAATACATGGATATACACATACACGTATGGTGATGTATTATGTTCGCGTGTGCACGCAAGAAGAGCAGCTCCCGGCTTGGAGATGACGAGTCAATCCGATTCAATGTTTCACCCTTCGCCGTCCTGCGATAAACCCAAGCAGGCGTGTCACGCAGAGTCGCACGGAAGGATCACCTTGCACAGGACTGAGGGGAATGGGGAGTTGCATATGTTAGCATTCTGTCAGGACAAGAGGCAATACGGATCTGCTAAATCCTTCGCTAACTTGTCCGGGACATTGGCCCGGGCCAAGAAATCCTTGCGAGAGCATTCATGCTGCTGATTGTGGCATGCGCCCAGTAATTTCCAACCCGCAGCAACGCTAAGCCTGCCCGCGCTCGTAGGACCCAAGCCTTACCCGAGGATACTCTCATGGAGAGTCGCTTCTGGTGGGATGTCTTCAGCTGCAGACTACAGCGCACGATGCAAGGGAATGCTTTCGATTCTTGACACGTGCGAGGCTGATCTCTTGACTCCTTGCGTCAAAGGCCGTGCGTGTCTAAGCACAGTTCACGGGAACAAACAGTGGGCTAAGGGCGGCCGGCGGGATGAAATCAGGGCCCGTCAAAACCCCACTTTCAGCACAGCTCTTAGAGTTGAGACTGCTAAGCAACATAGCTCAACGATCAATTCTACGACAACTTGCTGTACAATCTGTGCGAACCCCTCACCTCGGCTCTTGCATTATCCTGTAGCAGGCGCAAGTTCTTCCCGAATGAACATCGTCCAACTTCCGACTGGCAATGCGGCAGACTTCACTTTCAGGTAGAGGTCAGAGACCAACGTCTTTCTTGCTTTTGCCTGATCTGCTGCATTCATCTTTGCGGCGAGGCACTGCGAATAGAACCAGCGCCGCTGCTCATCTTCAGTCTTCAATGCGAGGTACTCGTTCACCTCTTGCATGTTGCCGACGTCTGGGCCATCCCATGTGACAACTGTGTCGGCGTAGATGGTAGCCGTACCACACTCGCTGTCCAGTTCACTGACGATGGTGGACGCAGGGTTGTACTGGGATGGAGGAACCCTCCAGCTCAAGTTGTTGGCCCCAAGAGCCCCAATGCAAGCCTCGTTGACGACTAATTTCTTGGCAATCTTTTTCAGATATCTCTCCTGCGCCAGCTTTCGGCTTTCGGGCTTCATCTGCTTCGCTTGGCAGGTTTAAAGACCCTATCCTTCTGGACGATCAAGTGCTCGGCACGCTTGGAAAACACGTACACGCCAGGTGCCAAAACACGGGCCGTTCCGTTCAATTGCTTCACCTTCGATTTGGAACAAAATCAGTTAAAGGCAAAGTCGCACTCAGTCCACTTGCTGCATGCGAGTTCTGTGCGCGCCTGCTGGGCAGTTTCCTCCCCGATGAAGCTGACATCTGGCGTTGTCCAGCGCAATGCCGTTTCAATGTGGTGCCTGAACGGTCGGATCCATTGAAACTTTGTGAGACTTGGCCACTTGTCCTAGCATCGTGTTTTGAGTCAGAATGTACCGTGATCCTGACCTGAGCTGCTTCAGATGACGCATTGCGTTCGGCTCGAGGCACTCCAGAATCCTGCCGCCAGGCCGCTATTGACATGACTGACACTACTATCTGTCTGCTGGCAACTTCCTTAGATTAACTATTCAAGAAAGCTTGAATTGTCCCTTCCGGGAGACGGACCCCTGTAAAAGAAGGCTGCTGTGGCATCTTCCCATCCCCTGCAACAAGGGCTTGTTCGAGGCATCCTGGGTGTCTCCCTTTGCGCTGCCCCTGCGCTCTGCCACTGCAGCAACTGCTCACTGTGGAGCCTATGTCGTATGCAAACATCTGCAGTGCTCATCCGTCTGAATGTACTGGAATCAGACGTCTTCTTGAGCTACATGCCGGTTGTTCGTGCTTGGTGCTCTGGTCTGGATGATCGTCACAGCATTCACGGCCATGCTCGGCGAACATCACATTGTGCCACAGTGCCCCCGAAAGCTGAGCAAAACTGAGATGTTGTGTGGATGAACGAAAACCCCTTACCCTCCGAGGAACGTACGGTCTGCCAGGTACGATCTCCTTTCCTCCTCTTCTCATGCTGACTGCACTGCTCGGATTCTGCATGTCCACCATGCTTTCCTTCCTTCCTTCCTACCGCAGAGTTCGAGACCCAAAGTGTTCCTCTAGACCCGTGCGTGACAGGCACTCGAGCTTCTGCTCTGCACTGTTTGCGAAACTACGCGTGCCTCTCCGACTTTGCACCCTCATGCTCGGTGTGAGTGCAATTCAGATCGACTTCCTGACGACACCGTGCCTGTCGTTTATGTGTCCTCTCCACTTCACAAGCTTTCGAGCAGAAGATTCCCCTTGGCTTATCTCACAGCGGGTCTCTTTATCCATCGGTCTAGCATAGAAACACTTCAATTCCCACCAGTCTCTGTCTTTCCCTCGCTGTCGAAAGGCACTCCTACTTTCCAGAGCAGCCATCACAGTCTCAAGCTTCGCATCCAGGTCAGCCATGCTCTTGCGAGGTACAGCTTTGGTACACCTTAGTTGGGTCATGCTGGCTTCGTGGCTAAATACTATGACGAGATGTCTTTCGGACGCTCACTCTTGTGGATTCGAGGACGGAGATGTCTGCACACTCGAGCAAGTCTCGGAGGCCTCAAGTCTTGGACAGCAGGATACTGCCGAGCGAAACTATGGATTGCAATGCCCTACAGTAGAAAGAAAAGAAGCTTTCAACGGAGGCCTTGCTGAAGCCTTTGCTGCTGGCCACCTCCCATTCGGTCTCACGTGGCAGGATCCTGCGTGTCGCCATCTGCAGAAGTACACGCAACTGGTACCTACTTTGCCCATTTTGCCCCGTCCTTGGCGACCGTCGTGGGCTGGAGAAAGTTGTCGACTTCGCCCGTAGCCGTGAAACCGCAGCAGTTTCGCTTTGCGAGAGCCTTCGTAAGTAGAACTCCTTCAACCGACTGATGCTACCTCAGCGAGATTCAGCTGTAGCATGTGCAGCAAAGCAACACCTCGCCTAGAACTGCATAGCTGTGAAGCTTAGATGCTCTTCCTCTCCAAGTCAAGCTGAACTTCAAGCGCTGTGTCGGACTGTGGCGGGATGAGGAGCTCATTTATCGAGGCACTGCTGGAGATCGGCGAATTCATGGCCGAATGCTTGTAGCACACTTGGGCCCTTCTGCAGCTGGAGTCACAAGCTAGCAGCTCGCACCACCCTGAATGGCATATGTGGCATGAGTACTTGAGCAGGCCCCAGAAGCAGTTGTGCTTTGCTGAAATGGGATCATGTCTGCACTTGCACAGCAACTTTGCACCGGGCGCATCCATAAGTTCGACAGCGTTAAGCTTCAGGAGCAAGTCGTCCGTCAAGAATGAATGGAGGACCTGTGTGACGTTTCAGTACGGTTAACGTTCGCTCAATGTCCAGAACCAGCCGGCTTGGTGCAGTTGTGACCGCTGCCGTACGAGTAGATCCCGTCATGGGAGGCAGATGCTGTACACACGGGCAGAATTCGTGTAGCCCGGTCCGCAGGCATAGGAGGACGTGCAACATCATGCAATAGCAGCAGCAACAGCAGCAACCGCAGCAGCAGCAGCAGCAGCAAGTACGAGTCTTGAACACAACAAAATGCAACAGGAGTCACGGAAAACCAAAACGCCCGCAAACCCACAACGGCCACCTGAACCAACATTAAAGCTTCAGTTGGCCAGCAGGTTTGACCGAAGGCCTGGTCCAGCGCCTTGCGGGATTCCAGCCTTGGGATCGCGGCTCAACCATTGCTCGGACTCGGGTCGCTTTTTTGCCGAAGAAACCCACAAACCCTCCTCAAACGCACCCTAACATAATGTACTGTTATAATCCGCCGAGGCCACAGGCCCAGGCGTCTTGGGGGTTAGCTCAGGTACCCGCAGGGTCCAAATGTTTGGGGACACCCGTTTTTTGCGTTCGTTTGCCACCCCCTTGCCCGGCTTCCCTTCATTTTACCTGATTTGTCGGCCTCCCCCCCCCCTCCCACCCCTCCCCCGCCTCATTTTACCTGATTTGTGGGCCCCCTCCCCCTCCCCCTCCCCCTCCCCCGCCCCCCCCCCCCCCCCCCTCCCCCCCCTCCCCCCCCCTCCCCCCCCCCCCTCACCCCCTCACCCCCTCACCCCACCCGCTTGTACCCGTTCTCCTCGTATCGACAACCGTGTTCCGCTACACAGCCGAGGCGGGCGGCGTAGCGTTAAAATTAATATTATAAGATCGCGGAAACAGCATGCCTTGGGATCCTATAGGTCCTACCTACTTTCAAGGCATTGGGGCGAGTGCGCTGCAAACGCCTCGTCGGCAACGCGGCCCAGCTCCACAAACAAAGCAAGGACCCGAATCCGCTGTACCTGACACGTTGTCTGACAGGCTCTTGAATCTTGTGTATTCGTCACAGTGAACTCAGGCCCAGTCATCTGAAAGCTCGGGCAGCCGTGACTGGAAGGACTCCTCATCCAAGGCTGCGAAGTCGATCCCTCTAAGAATTGGCACATGGCACATACATCGGCACACCATGGCACCCCCCTTCATGCGGCCGAAGAGCCAGCAAACTGGAACCTGATGCAGACCCACCACCAATGACAGCCTCGCCCGCACTCGCGCGGATGCTGAGACATGCGATGCTTTCATCCCAACTTCGGCCGGCACTTGCCGCCCGGCCGAAAACTTCACCGCTGCACAAACCTGAGCTCGTCACACAGTGCCGAATGCGTGCGAAACCCAGCATGGTGGTCCCGCAGCCTCCAGCATCCTCCAACTCAACACGTGATGTACAAGGTCTGGGTGCACCCGCTGCTCGTGCTGCAGCTTCTGCAACACCGGTGTCCTCATCCAGCAGCAACGGCTCACCTGCTTCGGGCGCCAGAAATTCGAACATGAGACAAGTGCACATTCGCCGCGCCGCGGCACGCGGCTCGCCGGCGTACTTTCGGATGCCCTGCTGCCTAACCTGCTTCGCTCGCGCAGCTATCGCACACCTTCTGCGTAGCATTCTGTGGGGCGATGTGCCGCGCGTCGCAAAAGAAGTGTGAGGAGAAAAGCATCGAAACTGGCTACAACAACCATCAGTTGCACAGCAGCTAAGGCGACGGCACAGATTCAGCATGTTTGCTTCCAGCAGTTTTTCCAATGTTGCCTGTGACATCTGCTGTGGGCCGGCCAATCAGGGCTCTGCACATCTGAACGTGTGCTGTATGCCTGAGGCGACGGCTTCCCCGTGAGTGGCCAGCCGACACACCAACTTCGCCACCATGGAGCGTAACTGCATTGACGACGTGATGCTGCCCACCGTGCAGCAGTGCATGCTCAAACTCATTGTCGACTAAGTCTGCAGCACGAGGATCTGCTGCAGTTGCCCCCTCAGCTCAAAGCTTCCAACGCTTCCGCCAGTATGGGAAAGTTGTCCCTAGCGCCACCGATCATCCCGGGAACTGCCCCAGCCATCAAACAAATCATGTCACGAGCAGCATCTCAGCATGCCGAAAAAGCTTGAATCGAAGTAGAGTACGCTGGGTACTTATGCAGAGAAGCGAGGCTTCGACCTGTTGCAAGAATGCGTTGACGTCCGCTTCCAGAAACAAGGGTCGGACCTGATTGCTGCATGAACATCATGTATCCCGTATCAATCGCTTGTACCTGACGATTCCGCCTCGTCGAATTCGGTGAGGCCTTCCAAAGCGAGTACAAGTGGCCTCGGGCCGTTGATTCGACTTCCTGCTGCGCCCACGAAGTCAGAGGATCCGAGAGCGCCACTCCACATCATCAGACGTGGCCGATGCCAAGGCCTGCTGCAATTCATTGTTCGTGAATTTCATGCTCCTTGATGCGATGCCAATTGCAAAGCCTCGCAGATTTGTCGTACAGAGAAGCTGTCCAGCAGCAGCCTCGCAGCCTTCTCGGACCCAGTGGCACGGATGTGCTTCTACAGCATCTACATGAAGCCTGTTTTGAAACTTCAATTTCTTGTTCGAGCGCATCGCTTTGCACCTGCCTGGGTCGGGTTCTTGTTTCACGGACATCCTTACGGGCTACATTCCAAATATCTTATGGTTTCGTCCTGAGACAATACAAGCATGATGTAAGTATACCACCCACGCACAACAAGCGATCATCGCCGAATTGTCCACAGGAGGGCCGTTTGACCCCCAGTTAGCATGGTGCCCGAGCGGCGAAGCGGTACCGAAAAAACAAACAGCGTACAGCAACTGGGGTCATGTGCCGAAAATCCCCCGGCTGCTGAGGGCGGCGGATGTGGTAGAACTGCAAAGCTAAAGAATGCGTGTCAAGCACGTAGTTCCGAAAAAAAACGAATGACTCCTCGAACGGACAAGCTCAAAAGCACGGCGGTTGCAAACGTGATGCAGCGGAATTGAGCAGCTCTAAAAACGCTTTTCCAATTTGAACAAAGACTTCGCGCCCTGTTTTCCCGCAGTTATCCTTGGTTGTTGTGCGTTGAATCACATTTCCGAGCGGTCTTCGGTCCTTGGGGTGGTGGGGGGGGGTACTGACACCATCTGACACCCGATCTCCGCAAATATCAGGATGACTGCCTAAAACTGCGCGTGGATGCGCGTGGGCTCCAGGCATGTCTCTGGCGAAAACCCACAGGACATGCGAACCTCTCGTACGCATCGGACAACTCGCGAAGGTGGTGGCGTAAACGAAATGAAGACCTGTGGGACTTCAGCTCTTGCCTCAGGCTTCAATCCTTGGCGCTGCCCAAGTCCTGCGTAAGGCAAGTTTAGCAACGTAGGACTACTTCTTGTGAGACTCTATCTGTATACGATAATTGTTTGTTCTGCCGTCTGTTGCAGAATGAATTTAAAACCCAAGCGAAAACACAGTTGGGCACCGAGTTTGCTCAAGCCTCCAGTGTTACGCGCGCCTGCCTGGTCAGCATTTTTTCATGAACTTACACTTTCGCCACGGTTTCGATCGAATCCATGTAAAACCCCTCCTTCTGACATGCGTGATAACCGAAAGAACGCTTAGCCGCGTAACCTTTCCACGTTTGGTGGTGGCTTCCTCGCACGACTACTTCAACCACCTGCACCCTATATAGACCGTTATCATACTGTTAGCAGCGAAAGGCGAAACCGACCCTTCCGGAAGCCAAAACACACCAATGATCGCACCTGTTCCGGCGAAGGCGAAGAAATCACGACTGGAACATGCAAGCGCCATGTAAACGCATGGGCCGACGTGACACAATTCACTCCACTCCTGATCATTTTCGAACCTGTTGCTTCTGCCAGTGAACGCTGACAATCCATACCAATCCGAGGTAGATCTGGAAAGACTGACCGACTTCTGGAAAGCGCACGCGGACACCATGTAGACGCACGAGCCAACGGCACGCAATCGATCCCCAGATATGAAAGCAGGCCTCTAAACAGCTTTGCCGATAGGATACTTTGCCCAACCTATGGCGGTGAAATATGCATCACCCGAGATCTGCGTAACGAGCTTGGACTCCGAAATGCCGGTGGAAAAACTACCTGTTTCCCGGCCAAACGTACTAGTAGTGACCGAAACTCGTTTCTGAGATCCACACGTGATACAAAAAAAACTGTCCAACTGAACCAAAAACCCAGCCATTCCGCAACGACGGAACCCCCCGCGCGGACGCTGCAACATGCTGCAACGGTTGATGTTTGGATATGTTTGGATGCCCGGCAGTCCGCGATTTGCACAACCCCAGTTTGAGGCGCAAACGGTTGTCTGAGGCGCTAACGGTTGATGTTTGGATGCATACCACGCCAAGCTCCGAAATACGTAGCCGCAGCGTGGACGCTGAAACGGTTGTGTTAGGCCGGGCTCCGAAGTCTCTAGCCCCAGTGTGGACACCGAAATGCTTCATGTTCAATTCATGTTTCTTTGGTGCTTGGATGCCAAGCCTGGTTCCGACCCCAATGTCGACCTTGAAATAATGATATCTCCAGTGTAGCCGTTAAAAGCGTATTTCCCCGTCAAAATTCAAATGGAAACCTTCGCTCGCAAAACGCGTTCCGGTTCTACCACACTCGTCCAAGGAGATTTTGGCGTGCCTCCAGAGGGCCTCGTTGTGGCTGCTCGTCATACCCCTGCTTGGAGGGCTGGACGTTTGTTTGCTCCGATGCAC